TCTGTAATTTGCTTGGCTTAAGGCAGCACTAACTCCATTTTGACTAGCTGTTTCAGGCAAGCCTGGGCATGCCTAGGCATGTTGTAATCTTCAGTTACCACCCCCATCCCAGAAAAGTAACCTTTTATAAGCAGCCACAGCTGAAGTCATGAAGATGGTAGTTCTTTGACTCAGAAGAGTGCTGTGCAGTGTGGGACCCTGACTCGTCTCACTGCTTCTTTCTGCTTCTGTAATTTGCTTGGCTTAAGGCAGCACTAACTCCATTTTGACTAGCTGTTTCAGGCAAGCCTGGGCATGCCTAGGCATGTTGTAATCTTCAGTTACCACCCCCATCCCAGAAAACTATAGATCAAGCAAGCTTGGGCATATAGCAGCCTTATAAGGTAAAAACAGAAACTTCTGGCCCCACAGATAACAGCGCATTCCAATGCCCTAAAAACAGCCCCTACCAATAAGAATCCTCCCCGCACTCAGGGCATAGGACCATCCAATCATTTTAAAGGATGCTTGGCATGCGTGGGCTTCTGTGAAACTTCCCTATAAAAACCTACCCCACCCTAGAGCGGGACTCTCAGTACGGATCCTCTGCATAGGTGAAATCTGAGGGCCCGAGCTTAAGCCTGAATAAAGGCTCTTTGCTGTTGCATACTCTCCGGACTCCTTGGTGGTCATTGGGGGTCACGAGAGCTGGGCGTAACACATGTGTGTGGAGGTCGGAGAACAACTTGATGGAGTCAGTTCTCTCCTACTGTTGTTTCTCTATGTGTATGAATGTTTTGCTGCACATATGTAAGTGCACCATGTGCATGCAATGCCCACAAAGGCCAGAAGAGGGACATCAGATCCCTTGGAACTGGAGTTATGAACAGTCGTTAGTTGCCCTGTGGGTGCTGGAGACCAAACTCAGGTCCTCTGGAAGAGCAGCCAGTGCACTTAATCACTGAGCCATCTCTCCAGTCTTCTTTGCACCTTTGTGTGGGTTCCATGGGTTGAACCCAGGTCACTGGGCTCCAGCAACAAGTATTTTACAGAGACTACTTGCTAGTCATTATTATTATTATTATTATTATTATTATTTTTATTATTTGAGATAATAGTCTCACATACAGTGTTAACCAATGTTAGTTTTTTTCCTATGAGTTCATTGCTTCTACGAGGCCTTGAACTCACAGAGATCTGCCTGTCTCTGTCTCCCAAGTGCTGGGACTACAGGTGTGCACCCGCCTACTATTGTCTATTTAAAAAATATTTTAATTTTTTTATGTGTATGAGTATATTGCCTGCATGTATCTAAGTACACCTGTGTTATGCAATGCCTGTGGAGGTCAGAACAGGGCATCAGATCCCTGGAACTGGAGTTACAGATGGTTGTTAGCCACCATGTGGGTGTTGGGAACCAAACCTAGGTTCTCTGCAAGAGCAGCCAGTGCTCTTAACCACTGAGTCATCTCTCCAGCCCCATTTAAAAAAAAAAACAAACAATTATTTAAGATAGTATTTTATTATTTTTATTTTATTGTATGTTTTGCCTGCATGTATGTAAGTAGGTCACCATGTGCATGCAATGTTCACCAGAGGCCAGAAGGTCCCCTGGAACTGGAGTTACAGAGGGTTGTTAGTCACCATGTGGGTGCTGGGAATCTGAACCTGGGTCCTCTGCAAGAGCAGTGTGCTCTTAACTGCTGAGCAGTCCCTCCAGTCAATTATCTTTTTTTTTTTTTGCGGGTGTGGGGGGGGTAAGTATCATACCTGGTGAAGACCTCAAACCATGCTCAGTTGTATGGTGTTGGAGATCCAGCCCAGGACTTTGCTCCTGCTAGACAAACACTCTACCAACTGAGTCACATCCTTAGCCTCACTTTTGTTTAAAGATTTATGTGTATGAGGATTTGCGTGCATGTATGCATGTATATCATGTGCCTGGTGCCCACAGAGGTTAGAAGAGGGTTGGACCCCCTGGAACTGAAGTTAGATGGTTGTGAATCTCCATGTTGGTACTGGGAATCAAATCTGGGTCCTTGGCAAGAGCAGCAAGTGCTCTTAATCTCTGAGCCACGTCTCCAGCTCCCGTACCTTTATTTTTTTGTGATGAAAACGTCTAAATAGTCTTAGGAATTTTCAAGTATATAGTACATTATTTACATTATGACAGCATGTATGAACTTGGAGGACGTATATTACACTAAGTGAATTTATTTTTGTATGTGTGTGGGTTCATGTGTGCCTGGCAGTCAGAGGGCAACCTGCAGGAGTGCCATCTTTCCTCTTTGTGGGTCCCGGGGTTTGGTGGCAAGCCTTTATCTACTGAGCCATCTCGCCTGCTGAATCTTTTTTTTTTAATTGAATTTTTGCGAATTTCATAATTTATACATATATGTATATGATCATATATGATTGAATTTAGATCCCCTCTCCCATCTGCACCTCCCTTACTCCCCTCCACCCAATTTCATGTACTCTAGGTGTGAGTTCACGGCGTCTTGGAGACTATCCCCAGCAGTCTTCGGTGGCCAACAGTTCCTGAGGGAGGGCTGGGGTTTCTTACTCACCTCCCCACATCCATGCTGGGAGTTTTGTCTCACTTGAGGTTGTGTGGGACTTGTGCACATTTGCTGTGAGTTCATATGAGTCACTTCCCAGCTGTCTGCTTCCCTGTGGTCATCCACCACCACTGGCTCTTACCTTTCCACAGTGATCCCTGAGTCTTGGGAGGAAGATTGTAAGTGTCCTACTCAGGTATAAAAAGAGGGTCTTGATATGTAGCCTAGACTGACCTCCAATCAGGCAAATTTCCTGCATCTGCCCCCTTTTAAAAAAAGATTTTAGCCAGGCATGGTGGCTCACACCTTTAATCCCAGCACTCTGGAGGCAGAGGCAGGCCAGCCTGGTCTACATAGTGAGTTCCAGGACAGCTGGGGCTACAGGGAAACGCTGTCTCAAAAAAACCAAAAAAAAAAAAAAAAATTGTTGGATTTATTTTGGGCCTGGCCTGGTGGCTGGCCTCAGGTCCCAGGCACACCACTGTTCCCAGATGAAGGCCCTCTGATTTGATTTAGCATCTCCAAGGTGTGTTTGAACATGTGAACCTGTCCCGGCTCTCAAATGCCCCATTCCTGGGTGCCTGGACTCTACCTACCAAGGGGCTGGCCTTGACCTCCATCCATTCTTTCCCAACTACCTCCAGCTCTACCCATATCCCCCAAACCCCGTCTCTCCAGCTCCAGGCTCTTCCCCAAGGTAATCCTCCCTTACTCTAGTCATCTCATAAGAAGGCTCAATTCCCACCCCTCCTGCTCCCCAAACCCTCCCAGGCCTTTGCTTTGGGCAGTGGTCCCCTACCAGGACAAGTGCTCACACCACCCTGCTGTGGACTGTTCACTGGCTCGGTTCCCAAAAGGACATCTGAATATTCATTCAACAGTACAGTTCAAATGTACTTTTTAAGAGTTTATTACATTGAATTGACAAATAATTGTATTATATTTAGTTTTCCCTTTATATATTACATGTATAGACAACACTGATGTTTTGGTACACGTATACAATGGAGAATGACTGAATCAAAGTAACATCAAGCACCTCACTTCTGTGGTGAGACAGCTGACATACTACTTTCTCACTTAAATTTAGGTGATCTGGCGTCACAATGGGTGATGTCATCCCATTGTGTTTTTCCTGTGCGTTTCTTCAAGCAGTGAGGCAGACCGTATTTCCATTTACTCACTGGCTGTCTGGTGATATCTGACATGTGGAACTGTCCACCTTTCAGTTGCTTTGCTGTTTAACATGAGGGAGTCTTTATGCCTCCCGTGAGTCCTGACAGGTGCATGTAGAGTGTCTTCCCGACTCTGCTTCTTCTTTCCCCACCTGCGTGGCATCACTTTGTGGACAGACTGCGCTTCTGATGAAGTCTAATGATCTTTTACAGTCCATGAGGTCTGTACCCCAAGAAATCACTGCCTGACAGTAATCTCCTAAACCCTCTCCACAGAGTTTAACAGCGTATCTGAACTCACCACACCCGCAGGTTGTCTTCTTGGAACTCACTAACAGGAACTCTGATGGTGATGATCATGGGAACGATAACAGGAGTATTTACTGACTTGACACAGAACTCCTGATGCTCTCTCAAGGAGTTTACCATTTAATTTCCACAGTTTGATTATCCCTATGTACAAGTAACACATGTAACACAGTTTACAAATACAGAGGATCTTGACTTACAGATGTTTTAACTTACAATTTTCAACTTTACGATGGCACGAAAGCTATCCATACAACCACAGCCTTTTAAAATCACAATGGCGAGAAAGCATAGCCACACAACCACTGATTTTTCTACTTTACGATGGAGTCAAAGCATACCCAATACAACCACTGAGTTTTTTGGACTCTACATTGGCATGGAGATTAAATTCAACACAACTACTGATTTTTTAAACTTTGCAAAAGCATGCCCAATACAAGCATTGATTTTAACTTTTCTTTGGCTGTTTTTGGAGACAAGATCTCCCAGCAGGTGGCCCCAGCTAGCCTGGAACTATGTAGACCAGGCTGGCCTTGAACTCATAGACATCTGCCTGCCTCTGCCTCCCAAGAGCTGGGATTAAAGATGTGTGTTACCACTCCCAGCCTAACCATTGATTTTTCAACTTTGCGATGGTGTAAAAGCATATTCAATACAGCTATTGATTTTTCAACTTTGTGAATGTATGCCCAATACAACTACCGATTTTTGAGCTTTATGATGGCGTGCAAGCGTACCCAATATGACCACTGGTTTTTCAACTTTGCGATGGTGCAAAAGCATATTCACTACTACTGATTTTTTTCAATGTTGCAAAACTATACCTAATACAACCATTAATTTTTCAACGTTGCAATGGCATGAAAGCATATTCAATACAGCTATTGTTTCAACTTTGCAAAAGTGTACCTAATACAACCACTGATCTTCTAACTCTGTCCGAGTATGCCCGATACAACTATGGTTTTTGAGCTTTAAAAGGGTGCGAGAGCATACTCAATACAATCGATTTTTCAACTTTACGATGGTTTGAAGGTGTGTTCAATACAACGATTTTTTTCAACGTTGTAGAAGCATACCCAATATAACCACTCATTTTCGAACTTCAAGATGGTGCAAAAGCATACCCAATATAACCATCGATTTTTCAACATCACGATGGTACAAAATGTACCTGTTACAACCACTGATGTTTTACTTTTAGCACAATGTTCAAGAATTTTTTTTTTTTTGAGACAGGGTCATGCTCTATAGGCCAGCCTGGAGTCCACTGTGCTGCTCAGGCTGGCCTTGGTCTCTCAATCCCCCTGTCTCAGCTTCTTGACATCACAGATGTGTTACCACACCTGGCCACTAGTCAGGAAATTATGTGAGACACTCAATACTTTAATCATAGAATAGATTTGGTTTTAGATGACTTTGCCCAATTTAGGCTAACGGGAGTGTTCTGAGTACATTTAAGATAGGCTGGGCTATGCTGTGAAGTTTGGTTAGTAAGGTATATTAAATGCATTTGCAACCAGTCTTTTCAGCATCTGATGAGTTTATCAGGACATAAGCCTATTGTGTGTCAGGCCATCTGTAATACACAGGGGTAATGAGCAGCTTGTGTGTGTCTCACAGAGTAAAGAGGTGGGATAGTGATGCTAGCTGGTATGGTATTCGCCAAGACTAAAGGCTTTCCCACAGGTGTCACAATGGCAGGGTTCCTCCTAGAATGAACTGGAAACATAATAAAGGTGGAATGGCATTGGTAGGCTTCTACCCATTCACTCAACCAACTTACCCAGGAAAATGCCAATGGAAAGGGTGTGATCATTTAGAAAAGTGACTTTGACACACTCTCCAATTCATCTCCAGTATGACTTCTAATATTCTACAAGCAAGAAAATGACCAGGGAAAGCTTTCTTATGATAAATTAAAACATGGATGTTCCTCACATTGAGGAACAAATGAATGGGGGATAGAGGCCTTGGTATTCTCTGTAGTGAAAAGGTTTTCAATGTTGGTGAGTCTTCTGGTGCTCTCTGAGATGGCTTATGTGATTATAAACCTTCCCACACTCATTACAGGACTTTGCCATGTGAGTTTTCTGGTGCTGTCTAAGCTGGTGGCCATGACTGAAGGCCTTCCCACATTCCTCACATCTGTGGGGCTTCTCCCCTGTGTGAATCCTCTCATGTTTAACGAGGCTTGAGCCATATATAAAGGCCTTCCCACATTCCTTACATTTGTAAGGGGTTTCCCCAGTGTGAATTCTCTCATGTTGAGTGAGGTGATAGCCACAGTGAAAGCCCTTCCCACATTCTGTACATTTATACGGTTTCTCGCCTGAATGAAGTCTCTCGTGTTTAACAAGGCTTGAAGCCCAGCGAAAGGCCCTGCCACATTCCTTACACTCATGAGGTTTCTCACCAGTGTGAATCTTCTGGTGCTGAGTAAGGTAATTGACTCTAGTGAAGGCCTTCCCGCACTCTTGGCATTCAAAGGGTTTCTCACCTGTGTGGATTCTCTTGTGCTGAATAAGGCTGGAACTACAAATAAAGGCCTTCCCACAGTCTTTACATTCATAGGGCTTCTCACCACTGTGAATTCTTGTGTGCTGCATAAGTTTATACAGACGGCTAAAGGTCTTCCCACAATCTTTACACTCATAGTCTTTCTCACCGGTATGAAATCGCTGATGTAGAGTGAGTTCATCACCACGTCTAAAGGTCTTCCCACAGTCTTTACATAAGTATGGTTTTTCGCCAGTATGAATTCTCCTATGAATAACAAGGCTAGAGCCCCACCGAAAGGCCTTCCCACAGTCCTTACATTTATAAGGTTTCTCCCCAGTGTGTATTTTCTGGTGCTGAGTAAGCTGATTACCCCAACGAAAGGCCTTCTTACAGACTTTACACTCAAAGGGCTTCTCGCCAGTATGAATTTTCTGATGTTGACGGAGCTGATACACACGACTAAAGGCCTTCCCACAGTCCTTACATTTGTAGCTGTCCTTATGAGGTCTCGAGTGTGGGGTACGTGTGCGCTTTCTATCAGTGGGTGCTTTTCTAGAGCGGTTGCTTTCTTTATTGACACTTCCCTCTTGAGAGCCCTGTGGTGTTTCAGACTCCCCTTCGAGAATCCTGTCAAGGCGGTAAGGCTTATTTTTGTCACCTGAATGCTTTCTGCGAAAACTCAGCCCATAAATGCTCTTTTTTACAGCTAAACTCTTGGTCCCATAGGGTGATTCCCAATCTGGAAGAAAAATAACATTTGTTTCCTTTAAAGGAAAACAGAAGCTAAATCTACTCACAATACAAAAGATTCCCTAGTGGACTTGATACTCTGAGGGCGCGGGTGACAGAGGGGAAACACTGTGGGCACTTGTGTTAAAGCTCAATGGGGAAGGACAGTGACTACTGCTCTTACTGATGTTAACTGACGAGGAAAAGAAATGGGGGGGTCAAAAATGAACATGACGCCATACGCATTGGAGGTGGTGGAAGGGCACATCAGGGCAACCCAGGAAAAAGAGAAAGAACACACGCTTGTGGCAACATGAATGAGCCTGGAGGACACGCTGTTAAGTGAAATAAACCAGGGACAGACAGACAAATGCTCCATGCTCTCACTCGAGTGGAATGGAAAACTATTGATCACTGTTGCTCGCTGTAAAAAGTTTCTCTGACCAGCCCAGGTCTGTGAGCATAAACACAAATAATAACTTATTTTTATATGTATCAATATTTTGCTTGCATGTATGTAAGTGCATTGCATGTGTGCAATGCTCACAGAGGGCAGAAGGAGGGCATTGGCTCCCTTGGAAGTGGAGTCATGCACAGTTATTAGCTGATACGTGTGCTGGGAATCAAACCTGGACCCTCTGCAAGTGCAGCGAGTAGTTTTAGCCACTGAGCCATTTCTCCAGCCCCTCTTTTTTATTTGTTTGTGTGTTTTGCCTATAACATACACTATGTACAAGACTGCTGCTTGAGGCCAAAAGACGGCAGTGGGTCCCCTGAAGCTAGAGTTAGACAGTTATTAGCATCCATGTGGGTGCTGGGAACCTAGGTCCTCTGCAAGAGCACGTGCTGCTCATCGCCAACTGCAAACATAAATACTTAGAAGGCAATTTGACAAATGACCACTGGTAGGTCACCCATGCTTCAGCCGATGCCCTGACATGCATGGACAAGTGGGTGGTGAGTGTTAAGGTGTAGATAGCCCCACCCCCTCACCAACAGGGCCTCAAGGACCTCACAAGGAAGCCCCCTGAGAAAAGGGAACCGAGTTGATAAGCACCCTGGTCTTTGAAGTCAAGAGAAGCAGGCTCTTCTAAAAGGCAGCTTGCTTTTCCTTTGATCTCCGAAGACAAGATAAACAGATCCCACTTTTAACCAGAGACCTCAGGAGCCCCTTCAGCACAGCAGTTTTCCGTTATCTTAAGAGGACAAAAACAAACCCTTCCTGACTCAGATCCTGGCTGGCAGAGGGAGCGGGAACACTCCCCCGCCCCCAACCTTAAAAAATATACCTTCCTGCCTTCTGCACCCCTAGAACCCTCCCCCTAAAAGACCCCAGCTCATGACCCGGGCAGACATTTTTCCTGCCAGGAAGGGAATCTGTCATATGCTCCTTTGCTAATAAACTCTATTTCGCTGGAGTTTTATCTGTGTCCTGGTGCTTTCTCCCGATCCACCGGATTCATCCATCAGCTACTTTACTGATCAGGTAGCACCAATTAGACTGAGTTATTACAAGGGAAAGAAAGCTGGAGAGAAGTGGTCAAGAGCATTTGCTGCTCTTCCAGAGGACCAGGGTTCACGTCCCAACACTCACATGGCTGCTAATAAATTATCTAACTTATCTTATCTGGTGCCCTTCATGGGCACCAGGCACACAAGTGCTTATACATATATACAGGCAAAGCACTCATGCACATCAAATAAAAATAAATCTTAAAAAAGCTGGGGAGGTAAGGGACCAGGAGGCAGGAAGTTTGGTTAACTGATACAAATAACAGCTGAATAAGAGAATTAAGTTCTAGCACAGGATGATACAATACAGGAAGGAACTACAGTTAAGATCAATTTACTACTTTTGGTTTTGTTTTCTTTTTGGGGCAGGGTTTCCCTGAAACTCCAGCTGGCCTGGAACTCACTATGTAGACCAGGCTGCCTTTGAACTCACAGAGCTGTCTGCCTCTGCCTCTCAAGTGCTGGGATTAAAGCTGTGCGCCACCACACTTGGCCTGCTTGTTTGTTTTGAGGCAGGGTCTCTCATAGCCTAGAATGGCCTCCAACTTGCTATGTAGCTGAGCCTGACCTTGAACTTGTGATCCCTGCCCTTGCCTTGTAAGTGCTGGGATTGGAGGAATGTGTCACTAGCCTTATATATTTCAGGTTCGGCACAAGAGAGGATTTGAATGTTCTGATCACAGTGAAAGGACAAATGCTCTGTGATATAGCTGAAGAAAAACTTGAAAACATTTATTTATTGATTTATCAATGACTCTGTGTGTGTGTGTGTGTGTGTGTGTGTGTGTGTGTGTGTGTGTGAGATAGGTGGACATCAAAGGACAACCTATGCAGTTTGTTTTCCTCTCTACTATGTGGATCCTGGGGATGGAGCTCAAGTTGTCAGGCTTTGCAGCAAGTCTCTATACCCACTAAGCCATCTTGCTGCCCACCCCCAAGGAAAAATTTGTAAGCTCAAAAATTTAATAGGCACACTGGGTGTGGTGGAGCATGTCTTTAATCCCAGCACTTGGGAGGCAGAGGCAGGCGAATCTCTGTGAGATCAAAGTCAGCCTGATGTACATAGTGAGTTCCAGGCCAACGGGGGCTATGGGAGACCCCGTTTAAAAAAAATTAACAAGGTCTTGCTATGTAGCCATGCTGGTCTCAAAGTTGCAGTCTTCCTGCCTGTCTCTTAAGCAATGGGATCACATATATGTGCCACCATGCTTGGCTCAAAATGTTCTAATACATCTAATTGAAGCTGGGGAGGTTTCTTGCAATCTAATTCTCAAAATGATACTGAGAAAGAATTCATAAAAGAGACAGCTTTAAGGAACAAACAAGAAACCTGATGGTAAAGCATCTTAAACTTTTATAGGTTTTTTTCCCCTGAGTTTTTTCCCTGGGAGCAAGGTGGCTCCGAGCTCGGATATTTTTGGGGAGGAGGAGAATTGGAAATGAACCCAGAATTTTTTTCTTTTTCATTTTTTTTATTAGTTCTTTGAGAATTTCATACAAAGTTTTGATCATCTGCACCCTTCCCATCATCCCTCCCATGCCCCTTCCTTCCCTCCCCTTTCTTCAGACAGGTAGGATCTGACTCTGTAGCCAAGGCTGACTTGTAAATTTTGTAGCCCAACATGGCCTTGAACTAATGGTAATCCTCTGGCTTTAGTTTCTCAAATGTTGGGATTATATATGTGAACTACCATGCACAGTTAATTAGAATTGTGTTCAATTCTTGCTCCCCACGCCCCCTTAAACATAGCATGTCATGTATCTGGTAGCCGAGGCAGGCCTTGCAGTCACCATGTACCTGAGCATGACCTCCTTCCTGCCCCCACCCCCGAGGGCCACCATTACAGAACACTTCAACCTGTTTTGTGAAGTGTAATTGATGGAGGACTTTGGTGCATGCTAGGCAAGCACTCTACCAGCTGAGCTACATCCCTATCCCTATCTGGCCTGGAATCTACTATGTAGAATAGGCTGGCCTCAAACTCAGAGATCCACTTGCTTCTGCCTCCTGAGTGCTGGGATTAAAGGTATGAACTACCATGTCTGGTGCCCTGTTTGTTTTTGAGGCAGGCTCTTATGTAGCCCAGGTTGGCCTTGAACTTCTCATCCTCTTCCCTCCACCCCTGGAGTGCTGAGATTACAGGTGTGTGCCACCATGCCTGGTAATTCTTGCTTCTGCCTTCTCTAAGATACTCTGTGCTTAAGAATAATCATCTCCTACACTGACGTGTTGCGCCTAGCTTGTGATCTTGTGAGAATGAAATGAAATGTATGACATAGACACACACAGAGTGGCCTAACATCAGCTAGTCTTCCGATCTTATTTTGTGATAGGGTATTGCTGGGTAGGCCAGGCTGGCCTCAAACTCACAGCCTTTCTGCCTTAGCTTCAGGGATGCAGGCCTGGGGCACATGCCCAGTGTCAGCCACACCTAACACAGGGTTCATGGACTGTAACGTTCAGTCTCATTTCACGCACAATATGCTGACAACTGGATTCTGTCCATAAATTCTGTGTCTATGTTATAAACACGGGTTGTTTAAGAGGAAATCGGGGTACCAGATTGAGGTATTGTCCCTAAAGGTGGGTCCTCGAGGTACCAAAGACCATTAATAGTAATTTGTATATAAACATATTATCTAAAGATAAAGCTTGGTTTCTTGAAGATGGTTATAAATACTCCAGAGCTCCAATTCATCCCTTGGAGGACCAGCCAAGGGTGGGACAGAAACGCTTGGATGGCAAGTTCATTTCCACACCAACAAAGCTCAAAGCTTTCTTTGGGAATAGGAAGAACTTGAGTCAGTCTCCTGGAAAATAGTCCTAAAAATCATAGGAGAGGGCTGACATTCTAGGAAGCAGAGCCTTGAGGCATGCAACTTACCTAGTGAAACCAAATTACTGTAGTTTTCCAACATCACATCCCAGTACAGGTCCCTCTGGGTAGAGTCAAGACAGGCCCATTCTTCCTGAGAGAAGTCTACAGCCACATCCGAGAATGACACCAAACCCTGAAAACAAAGCCACATACTCCTGAAGAGGTGACAGGACAGCCCTTCAGGGTGAAGGGGATGGTGGCTACCCCTGCATCAGAGGAAGGCAGTGAGCAGCCTGAACACCAGTAACATTATTATTATTACTATTATTACTATTATTATTATTATTATTTTGGTCTTTTTGAGACAAGCTCTCCCTGTAGCCCCTGCTAGAACTCACTATGTAGACCAGGCTGGCCTTGAACTCACAGAGATCCACCTGCCTCTGCCTCCCCAGTGCTGGGATTAAAGGCATGCGTCACCACACCCAGCATATCATACCAATTATTGTGGGACTGAGCACTGCTGTGCCACTAATGAGCCTATGGGTGTGTGGAAAATGACCTGCACTTGGGCATTTCTAAGTATCCACATCTGCCAGAAAACAATCCAAGCTTTCTTCCGGCTCACAAGCACCGGCTTGGCAAATTCCCAGGAGGTGTGGATTCCTATAGAATACTGAGCTTATTATCTAAAAAATTTGAGTTCATTTTTATTATTATCGTGTGTATATGTGGGCATGCATGTGCCACAGTGTGTGGAGGCCAGGACACTGGGGGTTTGGTTCTGTCCTTTCATTGTGGCTTCTGGGACCCACACTCAGGTCATCGGGCTTGCATGGCAAGTGCCTCTACCTACTAAGCCATCTTGCTAGCCCTACTTTTTATTTTTAATTTATGTGTATGAGTATTTTGCCAGAATGTATGTATTCTACACTACCTGTAGAGGTCAGAAGAGGGCGTTAGATCCCCCAGACTGGAGTTATTGGTGATTGTTGGCTGCCATGTGGGTGCCAGGAACCAAATCTGATCCTCTGCAAGGTCAGTGCTCTTAACTGCTGAGCCATCTCTCAAGCCTCCTTTTTTGTTTTCAAAATATTTGAATTGTTTTTATTTTATGTGATGCTTTGCTTGCATGTATATAAGTGGATCACATGTATGTAGTGCCTGCAAGAGGCCAGAAGAGGCCATTGGATCTTCTGAAACTGGAGTTTAGGATAGGAATTAGGTGACATATGGTGCTGGGAACTGAACCTGGATTCTCTGCAAGAGCAGTAAGCGTTCTTAACCACTGAGTCATTGCTCCAGCCTCCGCCCCCCAACCTTTACTTTATATTTCTTTGAGGCAGGGTCTGGTTATATAGTCCAGGCAGGCCTGGAAATGTGATCTTCCTGCCTCAGATTCCCTCCCAGTGCTGAGTTGCTGAGATCAGCAAGAATTACTTACGTACTTAATTAATATATGCGTGTACATGTGTGGGTGTGCCTGGTCAGAGGACCTGCTGGAGTTGGCTCTCTCCTTCCACCACAAAGGTTCCAGGGATCCAACTCGGGTCATCAGGCTTGGTAGCAAATACCTTCACCTGCTGAGCAATCTTGCTGGTTTCCAGATGCTGCTGCAGCTACTGCTGCACTGTGCTCCTCTCCTCCCCTCCCTTCCCCTCCCTCCCTTCCCATCCTCTTCCCCCTCCCTCTCTCCCTCCTTCCTCTCCTGTCCTCTTTCTGCTCCCCTCCCCCTTCTCTCCCCCCTCCTCCTTCTCCCGCCTCCTCTCCCCCCCTTCCCTCCCCTCTTTCCCTCCCTCTCTTCTCTTTCCGCTCCCCTCCCCTCCTCTCCCCTCCCATCCTCTCCCTCTCTCCTCCCTCTAAGCACACACTAAGAAAGATCACCAGATATGGACATTCCCTCTTACTTACCCAGAACACAAGATCAGTGGTGATTATATTTTCTGTTTTGGTCCGATGGGGACCATTGTCAGACTAGACATATGACTTAATATTTTCCCCAAGGGATTTTGTTCCTTTATTACTATAACATTTCTCTGGACAAAGAAACTGAGTACACAGGAGATGAAAAATTTGTTCCCCGATTTACTAAACAGCCAAAAGGGCTGTGTGAGGTTATCAGTCACCGCCACACGGAGGGCTGAGAAGCAGGTCATTCGGAACCACTTAGGTGTAAGTCCCTGGATAACTCACAACAATGTCCCCAAACCTGACCATCACATTTCAAGAAGGAAAGAAATACACACTTACTCGGGCCTCAGTTTCAGAACTCAGGGTTTTGTCTGTCATCTTGGGGTTTCTTCCACAGTAAACACAAAGTCGGAGAGGAGAGTGCTGTAGGAGAAAAAGAGTCATTAAGCTGCTGCTGGGTTCTTAGGTGACTTCCAGCTCTTTCATCGTCATCTCCCAACACACACAAACGTGTGTGGAACATCAGAGAAAGAGTCAGAGGGTCATGGACAAAGTCAAGAAAATCAAAGTCTCCTAAAAGCCTCACAGCACAACGGAGACTGTTTACACACGAGTGCGTGCGTGCGTGCATGCCTGTGCATGTGTTCTCAAGACACGCCCTAGCAGGAGTTTTGGCAAGTTCATTGCTTGGAGCAAGTCCAGGAGGCACTAAGGGATTTCGTTTTGTTCCCCAAAGTCTTTGCCCTCAGATCACCTCTGAGAGGTAATCGATACCTTACCTTATTGGAATGCCTTTCTTTGCTTCAGGTGGGGGCTGACCACTCTGGAAAGAACAACCTGGTGATTCGGGATGATGGTCTTGGGTCACTCCGTAACCACTGACCTGGAGACTGAGATTAACCGTGCAGTCCATTAGTCAATCACACTAATGTGCCGGAGCCCCTACCATAGTGAATGTCAGAGCTTGAGTGACAGTTACTAACCTCATTGTGTCTGTTTCCTTCCTGCTAAAATTGGAATAGAAAGATTGTAAGGTGTGGCTATCTCAATTTAAGTAAGATAATCTATCTAAAGCATGCAGCAATATGTAATGATTAATATCTTAGCTGTTACTATAAGAGATAAAGAATATTACACATCTATTTTTTTTTTTTTCTTTGTAGTTCTGGGGTTTAAGCCCAGGGCCTGGCACATACTAGGTAAGTGCTCCACCACTGAGCCACAGCTGTAGCCCCACTCCATGTTTGTTTATATTTTTAGACAGGGTCTCTCCATAAATTACCCTGGTCGGTCTAGTACTCACTGAGTAGCCCAGGCTGGCTTTGAAATTGTGGCAATTCTCTGGCCTAGACTCCCAGAGTGTTGGGATTGCAGGTAAATGCTAGCAAGCACACTTCCTATTTTTATGGTTAAGCTTGTGCTCTTCAAGCCTGCATCCCTAGACTTCGGATTCCTTTTACAAACTAATACTGGATCCTTTTGTGAATTGACATGAGTAACTAGGATGCAATACTCCAGAAACAAAACACATATGTGCTTAGAAGTGGGAGGAGTGGATTTTTTTTTTTATTTTTTTTAAAGAGGCAAATCTTCCAGGTTGGCCTCCAACTCCCAATTCTCCTCTAACCTCCCAAATGCTGGGATTACAGATCTGCAACACCACACCTGGTTTAATTTTATTTTTTTGAGAGTGTTTCACTATGTAGCCCAGGCTGTCCTCAACCGCCCAGTGGTTCTCCTGTGTCAGCTTCTATAAAGCTGGGAATACAGATGTGTGCTACTATGCTCAGCTTGGGTTACTGTTTGGACCATTTGAAGCTCTGTTCTTTTTGTAAGTGGGTTAGTTCCCATCACCGTTACCTGTGTATGTATGCTGTTTGTGATTTGTGAATATCCAGGCTTACCACATGACGACCAGTTGAGTGCTTCTTAGAGCACTGAGTGCTCTAGGACGCTGCTACACGGGGTTGTAAGTGTATTAATATATCCTCTCTTCGTAACAACCCAGTTTTTCCAAAACTCAAAAGGTAGAAAGAGCCATTAATATGTCTGGAACTCTCTCTACTCAAATACCGTTCTTACATTTTTTAATTAAAACCCAGATGCAGCAGAGAATTGTGCCATTTTGCCCAAAGTGACACAACCCTGGGTTCATGCATACATCTTTGTCTCCTATGATACCCGTGTTACCTTCAAAATAAACACCTTTTCTCTAGTGTGGGATCTACACCTCAAATGTCATATTAAGATATATGAGGCAAAACCACCTAATTAAAAAGAAAAAGAAAAACTCACCTGCACCTATTTTAAGACGTCTAACGGTCCTTCCTGGTCAAGGAGATGACGGACACTGGCTCTTGCGCTGGCCTGGGGCTACAGGATGATATAGGAGGGCTTCCTGCAGAGAACAAGTTAGAAGAGACAACAGTCCAGGCACCACTGCCTTCAGGTCACAGATCAATCACCCAGTGAGGGTCCTGGATCTGAGGTTCGGACTCCTGAGGACCCGTCTGAGTCTGTTACCTGCCAAATCTGGAACCTTCCGCATGGACAGCGGTGTTCCTGCCTCACTGCCTTTGTTCCTGATGGGTGACATGACAGGACTCAGACTCGCTCTGAGCTCCCCACGGTGCAGAGTGCGTCCTCATGCGTGCAGAGCACATCCCTTGCACGAGGGGATGCGCGCACTACAGGTGGCTATCAGAGGCCGTGCCAGCGACATGGCTGCGCCATGTACTCCTCCCCGGTACCGAACTGACACCCAGCACCGCAGGTACTGACACCCAGCCGCAAAGTCCCCGGGCGCTGACCGCTCCGGGCACGACTCCCCATGCGTGTTACCTGCTGTAAGTGGAGCACGTCCTGGGAAGGCTGCCGGAGCCGCACCTGTGGCGCAGTGCAGAGGCAGGACTGGCCGGGCCCTCCCAGCCTCACAGCCCCGCAGTCCCCACTGCGTCAGCTCACGGCCCCGGGCGACCTGCATCCCCCCACGCACACTTAGCGTCGTAGTCAAGGCAACCTCAGCCCCTCCACAACGCGGTGCCAGTGACGCACGTGCACACGTGTGCAGCCCTGCTCGGAGGGCACCAGTCACATCTGGCCAGCGCATTGGTACTCGGGGGGAAGCCCCGCCCCCAGCCCACGACCTCGGCTCAGGACAACTCGCATGCGCACGGAGCTCTGCCAGGCGACAGAGCGAGAGCGCGCAACAGACACGCGTGAACACGCATGACGTGCAAGTGAGCCCCTGTTCTCTCCTGACACCCAGGCACTGCTAGGAGTTGGAAGTCCTGGACTGCCTCTGCGCAAAGCCTATCCTAAAAATAGCCCAGGCAGACCTCAGACTCGTGTCCTGCTGGAAGTGAGTGCGTGCAAGGGCTGGAGAGATGCTCTGAGGTCAGGAGAAATGGCTGCTCTTGCAGAAGTCCAGAGGTTCGATTCCCAGCATCCACATGCAGCTAACAACCATCCATAACCAGTTCCAGGGGATCCGAGGTGCTCTTCTGACCTCCACAGGCACTGTACGACATGGGTGCACTTACATATATGCAGGCAATATACTCATACACAAAAAATAAAAATAAAAAAAACTGAAGGTGTGCTCTACCATGCAGGGTTCAGGCAGTGCGCTTTTGTAATATATATTTATTGACTGTGTTGTGTGTGCACATGCCATAGCGGACATACGTGTGGTCATCACGTGACAACTTGCCGGGGTCGGTTCTCTCCTTCCAATCATGTAGAGTCCTGGGGATGGAACCTAGGTTTATTAGGTTTGGCAGAAGGACCCATCTCATACACCCTGAGGACTGTTGTAGGCAGGCTAATTGGCTGTTAGCTTCCGCACTAATAAAATTATAATACAGATCAAATAGGACAGGCTGTCTCAGGTATTAAAATAACCCATACAAGCACCCTGAATGTTATAATCCATATTTATACATGGAAAACAAGCTGTTAGTTCCCTCTGTTATAGAATATTTCACTCCTATTTTTTTTTTTTTGCTGTGTGTGTGTGTGCGTGTGTGTGTGTGTGTGCATGCTCATGCCACAGCATGAGTGTTGGGTTCAGTCCACAACTCACAGACTTGGTTCTCTCCTTCCATCTTGTGGAGGCTAGGGATTGAATGTAGGTCACCAGCCTTGGCAGCAAGAGACTTTACCCACTGAGCCATTTTGCCAGCCCTGTACCCCCAATCCTGTAAGGTTAATATATGATTCGCTATGAAGCAAAAAGGAGTCTACTGGGGTGGAAGATTACAAGGGAGGGCAGAGGAATGGAAGACAGAGGCAACATGCCATAATGAAACTTACTTTGTACACTAATTAAAAACAGAAACAAAAGCTGGGTGTGGTGGCACATGCCTTTAATCCCAGCACTCTGGAGGTAGAAGCAGGTGGATCTAGCCTGGTCTATATAGCAAGTTCCAGGACAGCTGGGGCTATAGGGAGACCCTGTCTCAAAAAGACCAAATGAAACAAAACAAAACATGACAAAAACAAATAAAACAAAACCTAGAAACAAAAACGGTACAGTACTGGGCTGGAGAGATGGCTTAGTGGTTAAGAGCACTGACTGCTCTTGCAGGACCCAGGTTTGAATCCCAGCACCTACATAGGCAAACAACCGCCCGTAACTCCAGTTCCAGGGGACCTAACACCCTCTTCTGGCCTCTAGCAGGCATTGCATGGCACGGGTGCACTTACATATATGCAGACAAAACACTCGTACACATAAAATAAAAGGTATAGTACCTGGGGCTGGAGAGATGGCTCAGTGGTTGAGAGCACTGACTGCACTTTGCAGAGGACCCGGGTTCAATTTCCAGAACCCACATGGTGGCTACGAACCACCCTTAACTCCAGTTCCAGGGGAATCCGAAGCCTTCTTCTGACCTCCGTGGCATTTCACGACACGGGTGCACTCACATACATGCAGGTAATACACTCATACACATAACATAAAAATAAAATATTAAAAAAGGTATAGTACCTGCACTGCTTTCCCAAAGAAGACAAGAATTAAGGCATGCACTCCTAGGCCAGGCGTGGTGGCTCACACCTTTAATCCCAGCACTCAGGAGGCAGAGGCAGGTGGATCTCTGAGTTCAAGGCCAGTCTGGTCTAAATAGAGAGTTCCAGGCCAGCTGGGGTTACAGGGAGACTCTATTTTTTTTAAAAAAGGAATTACCGTCACTCCTGCCTTTCCTCACCCAGTGCAGGAATGATGTGACCCATGGCTGGCTGGAGGCCTTTTATAACCTGAGGTTTGAAGAGAGCCTCCTTCACATAACCAATTAGCACAAAGGCACACATGATTAGCGAGGAGGTGGAGCGTTAGGCACACACGCAAAAACGTTAACAACCATTTTCTGTGGGTGCTGTCGCTATGAGTAATTCTGACATTATGAGCTCCTCAGGGAACTGATTTTTCCCCCCCAATTAATCCCATTACAAGCAATATAATTTAAGGGAGCCTCAATTAAGAGAGGGTTAACAAGGACAAATGACTAATTACGGGAGAGGAACCATGTGGTAGTTACTATGGAAAGTCTGAATGGAAGGGCCTGTGCTATTCATACAGCAAGGAGGTTCAAGTTGTATGACTGTATTGTTCAACAGATAACCTAAAGATCAAGAAACATTTAGAACTATCATGCTGTGTATGGTAAGGCATACCTTTAATCCCAGCATTCAGGAGGCAGAGACAGGAGATCTCTGTGAGTTTGAGGCCAGCCTGGTCTACTTAGCAAGTTCCAGTCAGCCAGGACTACATAGTGAGATCCTGTCTCAAAAAACAACCAACCAGCCAACCCAACCCAACCCAGCTTCAATCTTCTGACTTTGGGGAGTTAATAAATTGGTGTTTTAAGTCACTACATCTATGACAATAGCAAAAGACACTGACACCAAGTTTAACATTGTCAAATTGTGACTGAGGAAGTGTCTTTCCTCTGAACTTGAACATCCTGTGGTGACATCTCACCAGGAGACTGACCCTACGCACAAGGCAGCTGGTTGCCTTTGCAGACTGAGCCAGGATGTGTCTGGGCAGAGACAATTCTTTGTCCCGAGGGTGTGTGCTAAACATGTGGCCACGCTGCTCTCCTCCTGTCCTACCTGATCAACTGAACACCATGTGGGCTGTGATGCTTACTGGCTAATGGAAAACCCTTGGTAATTAACATTTCTCACGAGTTCTAATGATTTATGATTACTAGAATATAGCACCTCACCTTTCAATGCTGTCAGTGGCACCAAAAACCAGGGCCATCCCAGACACTGCCGGGGCAAGGAGTATAAGATGTGAGAACAAAATCTACCACTGTGTCCTATAATTTGAGGCTTGACGTGTGTGCCTCAGGATGTTGGAACAGACTGCTTGAGCCCAGGAGCCTGAGACCAGCCTGAACCACATAACAAAAAGACAAAGAAAGTCATACATGAATTAAAAACCAGAACCCACATGAAGGTTGGAAGGTGACAGTTGACACCCGAGACTGTTCTCTGAACTCTGTGCGTGAGCACACACCCACACACATGCACACAGAGACACAGACAAAAAATTATAAAAAATAAATTCCGGGGCTGGAGAGATGGCTCAGCAGTTAAGAACACTGACTGCTCTTGCAGAGGACCCGGGTTTGATTCCCAGAACCCACATGGCGGCTATGAACCATCCTTAACTCCAGTTCCAGGGGAATCCGAAGCCCTCTTCTGACCTCCACGGCATTGCATGACACAGGTGCACTCACATACATGCAGGCAATACACTCATACACATTAAATAAAAAAAATAAAATATAAAAAAATTAAAAAAATTTCCTCTTTAGTATTGGCACAAAATTAGTCACTTATATCAATGGACAGAAAATATGTTCACATATTATGACCAATGAATTCTGGACAAGGTGGCAAGATCACACAACCAAGAAGTGACGGCTTCTCAACAAACAGTGCTGGGAAAACTGGACATTCACATGCAGAAGAAAGAAAACGGATCTTTCTTTCAACCCATGCACAGAAATCAACTCAAAGTACATTAAGACGGGCTAGAGAGATGGTTCAGTAGTTAAGAGCACTGACTGCTCTTCCAGAGGATCTGGATTCGGTTCCCAGCACCCACATGGAGGCTAACAGCCAAGCCATTGGAGGCTAACTCCAGTCCCAGGGAATCTGGCACGCTTTTGACCTCGGTGGGAATTGCACAACACGGGGCATGGGTGCACTTTCATATACACAGGTAATACACTCATATACATAAAAAAGTACTTTAAGACCTAAACAGCAGACCATAACTATGATAGGAAAACACAGGAAAATGTCTTGATATTGGCCTTCATAAAGATTCGATGAATGTCACCCTGCAGAGAAGTAACCTAGCAAAAGAGACAGATGGATTAAATTAAGCTAAAAACTTCCACAGGAAGTAGTTGAGGTAGAGCACTTGTCTAAGCATGTATGAGGCCCTGGGTTCCATCCCTAGTAGCAAAAACAAAAACAAAGAGATAATCTATGCACTGGAGAAAATATGTTAACCCTGCATCTGAGAAAACACAAGGGACATATAATTTAACAGCAAGAAAACAACTAAAAAAATAGGTCAAGCTGGGCGTGGAGGTGCACGCCTTTCATCCCAGAACTCAGGAGGCAGAGGCAGGCAGAGCTCTGTGAGTTCAAGGCCAGCCTGGTCTACATAGTGAGTTCCAGGGGAGACCCTGTCTCAAAAAGACCAAAAAAAAAAAAAAAAAAAAAAAAAAAAAAAAAAGCCAAAACTGGCATAGAATTTCTCAAAAGAGTATTAAAATGATCAACAGGTAGGATCTGGAAAGCTGGTTCATCAGTTAACAGCCTGTACTGTTCTTGCAGAGGACTCCGAGTTTGGTTCCCAGCACCCATGTCAGGTAACTCACAACCTCCTGTAACTCCAGTCCCAGAGGATCCAACACCTCTGATCTTAAGGGCACTGTACTCATATGCAATACCCCCTTCCATGCACAATTTTTAAGAATAGGAGGTTCCTTCACTAGTCAAACAGAATCATCTTGTAACCCAGGAAGCTCACATCTAGCATATATCTACAGTGCTAGGACCATAATCCTGCCAGGACTTGGGAGGAAAATTTTATTTATTTATTTATTATTTATTTATTTATTTAATTAATTTTAATTTAAAAAATGTATTTCATAGAGCTGGGCATAGTGGCACATGCATTTAATCCCAGCACTCAGGATCTCTGTGAGACTGAGGCAAAGCCTGATCTATATAAGGAGATCCAGGCCAGCTGTGGCTACAAGGAAACCCTGTCTCAAAAAACAAACAAACAAACAGATTTATCTTATTGGAGCTGGACGTGGTTGCATGTGCCCTTACTCCCAGCGCTTTAGAGGCAGAGGTAGGTGGATCTTTGTGAGTTCTAGATCAGCCTGCTCTACATAGGGGGTTCCAGGCCAGTTGGAGTAACATGGGGAGATCGGGTTAAAAAAAAACCCAAACCTCAAATATTTTAAACATGTGTACTGTGTCTCTGTGTGAGTATGTGCACCTGAATGCAGGTGCCTGTGGAGGCCAGAGGTGTTGGCTCCCCTGGAGCTGGAGTTACAGGCAGTTATGAGCTGCCTGATGTGGGTGTGGGAACCAAACTTGGGCTCTCTGTAGGAACAGTATGAGTTCTTAACTGCTAAATCAACTCTCAGCCCCAGAGAGATTTACTGTCGCTCATGGTTTCAGTGTTTCAGTCCAACATGGTGGCTTGGTAGGATTGTGCCTTGTGCCCTCTGTTTCCTGGTTGGCCATGGTAAGAGGAGCCTCCTGCAGATATTCCCTCCATCACAAATCAATCAATCGGAGGGGCTAATGACAGAACTCATTTGGAAGAGCACCTGCCTAACACACCAGGGGTCCTGGGTCCAACCCCTAGCATGTCATAACTGGGTGTGGTGGTGGGTACCTATTGTCTTAGCACTTGGGATGTGCAGGCATACAGATCCTAAGTTCAAGGTCCTTACAGGCTATGTTTCTCATTTGAGGTCAATCTGGGATACACAGAGACTATGTCTCAAAACAAAAAACAAAACAAACAACAGAAACTACAAAAAAAAAAAAAATCAAAAGAGGGCAGTGGGACCTGGTATCTCAGACTCCAGTGTCTGTGAACTGATCTGCACTAACTAGGATTTTCCTTGCCCAGTTAGGCAGCTATTCTCTCACAAAGGCCACTTCTCTCTTGAAAGCTTTCTCAAGTCATCCTCAAAACCTGCTGAGTGTTCCTGGACACCGGTTCATAGCCATGGGTCCATAAAAAGTATTTGTGTTAAACATTTATGTATATACACATAAATAATAATACACACACATACGGATGTGTGTGTGTCTGTGTACATGAGTGGGTGCCCACAAAGGTCAGAAG